AAAAATTTGAGAAAATTCAACTAAAAATGATGATATTCCCCAAAAACTGGGTCAAAAATTGGAAATATTCCCCCGAAAATTACCCCAAAAATTGAGATATTTTCCCCAGAAATGGATCTCTTGCCCAAAACCCCCAGGAAATCCATTTTAACTCAATTTTTTTGCCCCAGAAAAATGCAGAAAATATTAAAAATTCCCTTTTTGCTGACTGGTTCTGCTCCTCCAGCTTGGCCAGAACTCCAATATCTCCAAAAATGGAAATATTCACCCAAAAATAGAGACAAGTCACCTAAAAATGGAAATATTCCAGCCAAAAATGGAGATATTCACCCAAAAATGGAAATATTCACCCAAAAACTGAGATAATTCACCTAAAAATGGAGATATTCACCCATAAATGGAGATATTCCACCCAAAAATGAAGATATTTACCCGAAAATGGAGATATTCATCCAAAAATGGAGAAAATTCACCTAAAAATAGAAATATTATCCCAAAAATGGAAATATTCTATCCAAAAATGGAGATAAATCAATGAAAAATGGAGATATTCACCCAAAAATTGAGATATTCACCCAAAAAATGGAAATATTCCACCCAAAAATGGGTCAAAAAATGGAGGCATTCCCCGAGAATTTGAGATATTCTCCCAAAAATGGATCTCTTGCTCCAAACCCAAAGAACATCAATTTTAACTGAAATTTTTGCCCCAAAAAAAGACAGAAAATATCAAATATTCCATTTTTCTGACTGGTTCTGCTCCTCCAACTTTGCCACAACTCCAATATCTCCAAAAATGGAAATATTCATCCAAAAATAGAGATATTCTCCCAAAAATTGAGATATTCCAGCCCAAAATGGAGCTATTCCACCTAAAAATGGAAATGTTGACCCAAAAATGGAAATATTCCACCCAAAAATTGAGATATTCCAGCCAAAAATTGAGAAATTCCAGCCAAAAATGGAGGTATTCACCTAAAATGGAGATATTACCGAAAAATGGAAATATTACCCCAGAAATGGAAATATTACACCCAAGAATGGAGATATTCACCCAAAAATGGAAATATTCCACGTAGAAATTGAGATATCACCCCGAAAATGAAGATAATTCACCTAAAAATGGAAATATTCTTCCCTAAATGTGGAAATATGCCCCAAAAATGGCTCAAAAAATGGAAATATTCCCAATAAAATGGCTTAAAAAATTCAAATATTCCCCTAAAAATGACCCAAAAAATTGAGATATTTTCCCCAGAAATGGATCTCTTGCTCCAAACCTCCAGGAAATCAAATTTTTGCCCCAAAGAAGTGCAGAAAATATCAAATATTCCATTTTTCTGACCGGTTCTGCTCCTCCAGCTTGGCCACAACTCCAATATCTCCAAAAATGGAAATATTCACCCAAAAATTGAGATATTCCAATCATAAATGAAGATATTAACCCAAAAAATGGAAATATTCCACCCAAAAATGGAGATAATTCAACTAAATATGGAGATAAATCAACTAAAAATGGAGATATTCACCCAAAAATTGAGATATTACCCCAAAAATTGGAAATATTTCAACTAAAAATGGCGGTAATTCACCTAAAATGGAAATATTCCACCCAAAAATGGAGATAATTCAACTAAAAATTGAGATATTCATCCAAAAATGGAAATATTCCACTGAAACATGGAGATAGTCACTTTAAAATGAAGATATTCCAACCAAAATAGAGATATTTCCCCAAAATTGGAGATATTCTCCCAAAATTGGAGATATTTCCCTTGAAACCACTCCAATAATGGAAATATTCTTCCTAAAATTGCTCAAAAAATGGAAATATTCCCAATAAAATGAGTCAAAAAATTGAAATATTCCCCCGAAAATGACTGAAAAAATGGAGATATTCCCCCCGAACCCAAACAACATCAATTGTAACTGAAATTTCTGTCCAAAAAAGACAGAAAATATGAAATATTCCATTTTCTTGACTGGTTCTGCTCCTCCAGCCGGGCCAGCATCTGCAGCTCCTCAGGGCTCAGCCGCTCCCCCGGGGCCACCGGGGCCGGAAGCGACTCTGGGACCTGGGAACCACCGGGAGAGGCCATGGCCGGGTCACCTGGGGGGAAAAAATTACATTTTAGATGGAAAAACCACATTTTAGATTGAAAAAAATCACATTTTATAGTGAAAAATTCACATTGGAGCCCAAAACTTCCCATTTCAGCCCCAATCCCCATTGCCCCAGGGCCCCTCCAGGAGCCAGGAGAGGCCATGGCCGAGTCACCTGGGAGGAAAAAATTATATTTGAGAGTGAAAAATCACATTTTAGATTGAAAAAATTACATTTTAGATTGAAAAAAATTACATTTTATAGTGAAAAATTCACATTGGAGCCCAAAACTTCCCATTTCAGCCCCAATCCTCATTGCCCCAGAGCCCCTCCAGGAGCCGGGAGAGGCCATGGCCGGGTCACCTGGGGGGAAAAAATTACATTTTAGATGGAAAAATCACATTTTAGATTGAAAAAAATCACATTTTATAGTGAAAAATTCACATTGGAGCCCAAAACTTCCCATTTCAGCCCCAATCCCCATTGCCCCAGGGCCCCTCCAGGAGCCGGGAGAGGCCATGGCCGGGTCACCTGGGGGGAAAAATTCATATTTTAGATGGAAAAATCACATTACAGATGGAGAAATTCCCATTGCAGATGGGAATTTTCAGCCCCAAAATGTCACATTTCAGCCTCTTCAGCCTCAAAATTCCACATTTCAGCCCCAAAAATTCCCATTTCACCATGAAAAATTCTCATTTCAGCCCAAAAATTCTCATTGGTGTCCAAAAATTCCCATTTCAGCCCAAAAAATTCCCATTATAGTCCCAAAATTCCAATTGGAGCATCAGAAATTCCCATTGTGGCCCCAAAATTTACATTTCAGCCATAAAATTCTCATTTCACCACGAAAATTTCACATTTCAGCTTCAGAAATTCCCATTTCAGCTGTATAATGTCACATTTCAGCCCCAAAAATTCCCATTTCAGAATGAAAAATTCCCATTTTACCATGAAAAATTCACATTTCAGCATCAAAAATTCCCATTGCTGCCCAAAAATTCACATTTTCAACTTGAAAAAATCACATTTCAGCATCAAAAATTCCCATTTCACCATGAAAATGTCACATTTCAGCATCAGAAATTCCCATTGTGGCCCCAAAATCCCACATTTCAGCCCAAAAATTCCCATTTCAGCTCAAAAATGCACATTGGAGTCTTAAAAATCGAATTTCAGCCTCAGAAATTCACATTTCAGCCTTAAAATCCCAAATTTCACCCCAAAATTTGAATTTTTCGCCTCAAAATTTCACAATTCATCCCAAAATTCAACTTTTAAGTCCCAAAATTCCACATTTCATTTCCAAATTTCACATTTCAGCCCAAAAATTGGAATTTTTGGCCCAAAAATTTCACATTTCAGCCTTAAAATCCCAAATTTCACCCCAAAATTTCAACTTTTAAGCCCCAAATTTTCTCATTTCACCCCGAATTCCCACATTTCATTCCCAAAATTTCAATTTTTGGCCCCGAAATTTCCCATTTCACCCCAAATTCCCACATTTTATTCCCAAAATTTGAATTTTTGTCCCCAAAATCCCAGATTTTGTTCCAAAAATTTCAAATTTCAGCTCCAAAAATCCCAAATTTCAACCCAAAATCCAATTTAATTCCCAAAATCCCACATTTTAGCCCAAAAATTCCCATTTCAGTCTTAAAATCCCAAATATCTGCCCCAAAATTCCCATTGCAGCCTTTAAAGTTCCCATTTCACCCCCAAAATTTGACTTTTTGGCCCCAAAATTTCACATTTCACCCTAAATTCCCACATTTTATTCCTAAAACTTCACATTTCAGCCCAAAACCCCAAATTTCACCCAAAATCCCACATTTTGGCCCCAAAATTTCCCACATTTTATTCCTAAAATTTCACATTTCAGTCCCAAAATTTGACATTTTGGCCCCAAAATCCCAGATTTAGTTCCAAAAATTTCAAATTTCAGCCCCCCAAACCCCAAATTTCACCCCAAAATTTGAATTTTTTGCCTCAAAATTTCACAATTCATCCCAAAATTCAACTTTTAAGCCCCAAATTTTCCACATTTTATTCCTAAAATTTCACATTTCACCCCAAATTCCCACATTTCATTCCCAAAATCTCACATTTCACCCCAAAATCCCACATTTTATTCCTAAAACTTCATATGTCAGCCTCAAAATCCCCATATTTCATCCAAAATCCCACATTTCAGCCCGGAAATTTGAATTTTTGGCCTCAAAATTTCACATTTCAGCCCCAAAATCCCACATTTCATTCCCAAAATTTCACACTTCAGTCCCAAAATTTCATATTTCATCCCAAAATCTCACAATGCGGAATCAAAATCAAATTTCAGCCCCAAAATTTGACATTTTGGTCCTGAAATGTCACATTTCAGCCCCAAAAAGGGGAGCTCACCCCAAAAAACCCAAAAAATGGGGAGTTTGACACAAAAAAAACCCCAAAAGCTCCAAAAAGGGGGGATCACCCCAAAAAATCCCCAAAATTGTGACGTTTAACCCCAAAAAAAAAAAAAACAAAAAGGGGGAGTTTGACCCCTCCAAATAAACAAAAATCCCCAAAACCCCACAAAAAACACAAAATTGGGAAGTCTGACCCCCAAAAAACCCAAAATGGGGGGTTTGACCCCAAAAAAAGCCAAAAGGGGGAATTTGAGCCCCCAAAACACCCAGAAAGGGGGAATTTTTCCCCAAAAAAACCCAAAAAGGGGGGTCAGACCAAAAGCCCCACAAAAGAGGGGATGACCCCAACCCCCCCCCTAAAAAGTGGCTAAATCCAAATCCCCCCAAAACTGGGGTGACCCCAAACCCCCCCCTAAAAGGGGGATCATTCAAAATCCCCCAAATATGGGGTGACCCCAAACTCCCAAAAATTGAGGTGACCCCAAATTCCCCTCAAAAATGGGGGTGACCTCAAAATCCTCACAGACCAAAAAATCCCCCAAAAATGGGGTGACTCCAAATCTCCTAAAACTGGGGGTGACCCCAAACACCCCATAAAAGGGGGGGGTGACCCGAAATCCCAAAAACTGAGGTGACCCCAAATCCCCCCAAAATGGGGGTGACCCCAAGCCCCCAAAAATGGGGTGACCCCAAATCCCCCATAAAGAGGGTGTCAGGCTAAAAAAAAAACCAAAAATGGGGATGACCCAAAACCCCCAAAATGGGGGTGACCCCAAATCCTTCCATAAAAGGGGGGGGTGACTCCAAATCCCCAAAATTGAGGTGACCCCAAATTCCCCCTAAAAATGAGGGTGACCCCAAATCCCCTAAAAGTTGGAGTCAATCCAAACCCCCAAAATTGGGGGTGACCCCTAAAATCACCCCCAAATCATCCCCAAACCACCTCAGGGCTGTGCCCCCTCACAAAAAAAGGCGGGAACCCCCAAACCCCCTCAGAGCTGCCCCCCCCCCACCCCGAAAAAGGCGGGAACCCCGCAGCCCTCAGGCGGCACCTCCATTTTGTCCCTCAGGGTGCGGGGCGATGAGGGAGAAAAGGCTCCATTGTCCGCCGGCAGCGCCCTCACGGCCCTCCCCGCCCCTCGTACCTGTGCTCCGAGCCCACGGCGAGCCCCGGCCACCCTCCTGGGGGGGCTCCGCACCCGTCCCGCCGCCCCTGGACCCCCGCAGCAGTCGCCATCTCAGAGCTCCCGCTGCCGCCCTGGCCGGCACGGAGTGACCGCGGTGAAACGGCGCGGCTAATCAGAGCGCGAGTTCCGCGTCTGCAACCGCCCACCTGCAGCATCTTGGCCAATCATGAGAGGGAGTGCGGTGACAAGGCCAGCCCTTTCCCTCCTTACTTTTCCCGCCATTTTCCCCTCAGTTTCCTGCTCTTTCCCCCTCACATTTCCCACCATTTTCCCCTCACGTTTCCCGCCCTTTTCCCCTTTTGGTGTTAATTTGGGAGGATTTGGGGTTTTTTGGGATCTCTTGGTGGTGTTTTTTGGAGGTATTTGGATTTTTTGGGGTGGTTTTGGGGTTGTTTGGGGGGGTTTTGGGGGGGTTTTGGGCTGGATTTGGGGATTTGGGGTTATTTTGGGTGGATTTGGGGTTTTTCGACATTTTTTGGGGTCATTTTGGAAAGATTTGGGGTGATTTGGGATCTTTTGGGGCTTTTTGGGAGCTATTTGGATTTTTTGGGTGGATTTGGGGTTAATTTGGGAGGATTTGGGATTTTTGGAGGGTTTTGGGGTTATTTGGGATTTTTGAAAAAAATCCCTTTAAAAATCGGAATTTTGGGGGGATTTTGGGGATTTTTTGGGGGGATTATTTTTTGGGGTTTTTTTGGGGGGGGATTTTTTGTGGCATTTTTTGGGGGATTTTTTTGCAGATATCTCTTTTTTTAAAAAATCGACATTTTTGGCACAAAACCCTTTAAAATCGGGATGTTATTTCACAAAGCTCTTTTAAAAATTGGGATTTTTTGCAGGAGTTTTTGGAGAAAACCCATAAAAAAATCAGATTTTTTGGCACAAATCGCCTAAAAACATCGGGTTTTTTTTTTTTCCACACCAATCCCTTAAAAAAATACAGATTTTTGGCATAAATCCCATTAAAAATCGGATTTTTTCAGAAATCTTTTTAAAATATCGGGATTTTTTTTCTGCACAAAACCCTTTTAAAAATCAGGATTTTTGGCAAAAACTGCGTGTGAAAGACAATAGCATAGTTTTTGTTCATCAGGAAAAGCCCCAGGGATTGTGTAAGATGCAGGAAACAGTGGGGCAGGAGGGCAGGTTGTACTGCTATTAGTAGATAGTGGAATTGAGAGATCTTTGAAGGCTGCGTTACCATATTTAAAGAAGTTATTGCAGGGTTAACGCTACCTCGGAGGAAGAAGATAGAGGAGCTTTCCTCAAACGACCACCGGACAGCAGACAAAGACCCCTCGCAACACGCCGCGCAGATGCAGAGCATGTCGAGACTGTCACAAAGTCCGGAAGTGAAGGGGTATGAGAACTGAAAGACCGGGAGGTGCGGGGCGGGGCGAGCCGGTGGGGGAGCAGAGGCTCCCCGGCCGCCCAGCGCTGCATTTGCCCGTACTGCTTGCTTGCTAAATTAATAAAATTCTCTTTATAAAGTGACACAAATTGGTCCCGTGTCATAATTCATAACACTGCATTTTAAAAAATCGGAATTTTTGGCCCAAAACCCTTTAACAAATTGGGATATTTTGGGGATTTTTGGCGAGATTTTTGGCACAAATTCTTAATAAAATCGGATTTTGTTTTTCAGAAATCTCTTTTAAAAATCGGAATTTTTGGCACAAACCCCTTTAAAAAATCGGGATATTTTCCGGAATTTTTGGCATGAATCCCTTTTTAAAATTGTGATTTTTGCACAAATCCTTAAAAAGTCAGGATTTTTTTTTTTTTTTTTTTTTTTTGCGGGGATTTCTGCACAAATTCTTTTAAAAATTCGGGGTTTTTTTTTTCAACAATCCTTTAAAAAAATGGGGATTTTTTTTTTCCAGAATTTTTTGCTCAAAACACTTGAAGAAATCGGAATTTTTGGCACAGATCCCTTAAAAAAATCGGGATTTTTTGCAGAATTTTTGGCAGAAATATCCTTTAAAAATCTGAATTTTATACGGATTTTTTGGCATAAATCCCTTTTAAAATTGGATTTTTTTGCCGGATTTTCGGCACAAATTCTTTAAAAAAAATCCGATTTTTTTGCATAAAACCCTTTAAAAATCGGAATTTTTTTTTCAGAAATTCTTTAATAAAATCAGGAATTTGGGGGGGATTTTTGCCGGGTTTTTTTCGGAATTTTTGGTGGAATTTTTAGGGAATTTTTTTTTAATTTTGGGGGGAATTTTTGGGTTAAAAAAATGGAACCCTTTAAAAAATCGGAATTTCGGACACCAATCCCTTGTAAAAATCGCGATTTTTGTGGGACTTTTGGGGATTCTTTTCGGGATTTTTTGGTGGGATTTTTGGCACCAATCCCTTTAAAAAATCGGAATTTTGGGGGGGATTTTTTTGTGGATTATTTGTGGGATTTTTGGCACAAATCCCTTTTTAAAAATCGGATTTTTTTGCACAAAACCCCTTCAAAATTCGGGTTTTTTTGCCCAAATCTATTAATGAAATCTGGATATTTTTTTTTTGCCTGTTTTTTTTTGCGGGATTTTAGGCACAAATTTCCTTAAAAATTTGTAACTTTTTTTTTCAACAACCTTTTAAAAAAATGGGGATTTTTTTTTCGGAATTTTTGGCACAAATCCCTTTAAAAAATAGAATTTTTGGCACAAATTCTTTTTAAAAAATCAGATTTTTTTTTTTTTTTTTTTTTGCACTAAACACTTCCAAAAATCGGAGTTTTTGGTACAAATTCTTTAATAAAATCGGGATTTTTCTTTATTTTTTCCAGTTCTTTTGCAGGATTTTTCTGGGTTTTTTGCAGATTTTTTGCGGGATTTTTGACACAAATCCTTAAAAAAAAGAAAATCAGATTTTTTGGCACAAAATTCTTTAATAAAGTCGGGATTTTTGTGGGGATTTTTACAGGTTTTTTGCGGGATTTTTGGGGGTTTTTTAGGGATTTTTTTTAAATTTTGGGGGGAATTTTTGGGTGGAAAAAAGGGAATTTCAGCCGTGTCTGGGCCTCTCGCAGCCCCAGCGCAGCGGCTTCACGCAGGCCCCCTCACCCCTTCAAAATTGGAATTTTTTTCACAAAACCCTTTTAAAAATTGGATTTTTGGTGGGATTTTTGGCACCAATCCCTAAAAAAATGGGGGTTTTGGGGGGATTTTTGCAGAATGTTTTGCAGGACTTTTGGCCCCAAACCCTTTAAAAAAATCGGATTTTTTTCTGAAAATCCTTTTAAAAACCGGAATTATTAGCACAAAACCTTGAATAAAATCGGCATTTTTTGCGGGATTTTTGGACACAAATCCTTAAAATAAATCAGATTTTTCGGCACAAATTCTTTAATAAAATAGGGATTTTTGTGGGGATTTTTTCCGGGTTTTTTGCGGAATTTTTAGGGGTTTTTTAGCGATTTTTTTTTTTTATTTTGGGGGGAATTTTTGGGTGAAAAGAAGGGATTTTCAGCAGTGTCCGGGCCTCTCACAGCCCCAGCGCAGCGGCTCCGCGCAGGCCGCGCTCGCCCAGCGCCCGTTGGGCCCCAGGGTGCCGCAATCCTTCAGATCCTGCTGCTCCTCCTGCAGCCACACGTCCCAAAACCTGGAAAAAAATCCCCAAAATTCCAATTATTCCGGGCAAAGAAACCGGGAAAATGTAAAAATAAAAATTAGCAACGAAAATAACACAAAAAACCCAATTTAAATGGCGAAAATGGATGAAAAATGGCATTTATCAAGGAAAAATGGGGGAAAATCGGATTTTTTTTTGTTGGTTTTTATTAAATTTTATTATTTTGATTGATTAATTTTATTTTAATTGATTTTTAGTGGTTTTTAAACTTTTTTTTGGTAATTTTTAGTAATTTTTGGGTAATTTTTAGTAATTTACTTATTATTTAAATTGATTGATAATTGATTTTTATTCCTATTTAATGAAGTCTTCTTGGTTTTATTAACTTTTTATTAATTTTTTTTAAAGTTTGCCGTTAATTATTTTCTCTTATCAATTTTTTCCTGGATTTTTATCAATTTTTCTTATTTTTTAAATCGATTTTTCGCCCATTTTTATTCAATTCCAAAAACCTGGGGGAAAAAAACCCAAAAAATCAAATTATTCCGGGAAAAAAACCCCAAAAAATCGAATTATTCCGGGGAAAAAAACCCCAAAAAATCGAATTATTCCAGGAAAAAGATAGAAAAAAAAGGGAAAAATAAAAATTAGGAATTAAAGCAACAGCAAAAGAAAAAACCAATTGAAAGGGTGAAAATGGAAAAAACCGTCATTTTTTCAAGGAAAAAAATCGGATTTTTTTGTTGGTTTTAATTAATTTTCATGATTTTTATCATTATTTTATTTATTTTATTATTATTTGATTTTTTATTCCCCAGTATTTTGGTATTTTTACCAAAAATGGGATTTTTTTTCCTGGACATTTTGATATTTTTTTTCCAAAAAGTTGTGGGTTTTTACCCCCCCAAAATTGTAATTTTTTTAAACTAAATTTGATTTTTTCCCCAAAATTGGAAATTTTTTTTCCCAAAAATTTGGAGTTTTTTTCCCCCCAAAATGAGATTTTTTTTTTTTACAAAAATAAGATTTTTCCCCCAAAATTGTGGGAGTTTTTTTTTACCAAAATCAGGATTTTTTTAAACCTGAATTGTTATTTTATCCCCCAAAATAAGATTTTTTTTACAAAAAAAAAAAGATTATTTTCCCCAAAATTCTGAATTTTTTCCCCAAAATTGTGATATTTCGACCCAAAAATGAGATTTTTTTTCCCAAAAATGTGGCTTTTCTGCCCAAAATTATGAATTTTTGTACAAAAAAAGTGATTTTTTTCCCCCAAAAACGAGATTTTTTTTGCCTAAAATATGATTTTTATTTTTTCAAAATTGGGAAATTTTTTTTGCCCAAAATTATGGATTTTTTAACAGATAAATGAGATTTTTTTTTTCCCCACCAAAATTCTGATTTTTTCTTAACAAAAATGAGATTATTCCCCCTAAATTCTGATTTTTTTCCCCCCAAATTCAGATTTTTTTCCCCAAAAACATTCCGATTTTTCCCCCGGAAAAAAATCTGATTTTTTCACAAAAAAATGTAATTTTTTTTCTCTAAATTGTAATTTTAAAAACAAATTCTGATTTTTTCCCAAAACCTGATCTTTTTCCCCAAAATTGTTACTTTTTTTACAAAAAATGAGATTATTTTCCCCAGAATTCTGATTTTCCCCCTAAATTCTTATTTCATTCCCCAAAATTACGATTTTTTAACCCAAAAATTAGATATTTTTTTGCCCAAAATTATGAATTTTTTTTACAAAAAATGAGATTTTTTCCACAAAATTCTGATTTTTATTTCCCAAATTTGTAAATTTTTTGCCCAAAAGAAGAAATTTTTTGCCCAAAATGCGATTTTTTTTGCCCAAAATTAGGATTTTTTATTCAAAAAATGTGATTTTTTTCCCCAAAATTCTGATTTTTCCCCCAAATTTCTGATTTTTTTTCCTCAAAAACAAGATTTTTTTTTCCCTAAAATGATGGGGTTTTTTTTTCAAAATTGGGATTTTTTTGCCCAAAATTGGGTTTTTTTCCCAAAAATGGGGTTTTTTACCCGATCTGCGGCTCCTCACTGCTGCCCCAGTGCCATTTCCCCTCCTGCTCTGCCTCCCTCACCCCCAGCCAAAAATCGGATTTTTCCCCCAAAATTGCAACTTTTTTTACAAAAAATGAGATTATTTTCCCCAAAATTCTGATTTTTTTTCCTAAAATTGCAATTTTTTTCCCCAAAAACGAGATTTTTTTTTTTGGCCTAAAACGATGATTTTTTTTTAATCAAAATTGTGATTTTTTTTTGCCCAAAATTGGGGTTTTTTTACCCAATCTGCGGCTCCTCGCCGTTGGCCCAGCGCCATTTCCCCTCCTCTGCGTCCGTCACCCCCAGCCAGTAGGAGCTGCTGCGGTTGCTGTTCTGCACCAGGAATAGCTGCAAAAAACACCCCAAAAAACACCCCAAAAAACACCCCAAAACACCCCCAAAATACCCAAAAACACCCCAAAATACCCAAAAATATCCTAAAAATGCCCTAAAAATACCCTCCAAAATCCCCTAAAAACACCCCAAAAAACACCCCAAAAACACCCCAAAAATGTCCTAAAAGTGCCCTATAAATACCATCAAAAATTTTTAAAAATACCCCAAAATTCCTAAAAAATTCCCAAAAATACCGAGAAAATCGCCCAAAAATTCCTTTAAAATTCCCCAAAAACTACCCCAAAATAACCCCCCAAAAAATCCCCAAACCCCCCAAAAACCCCAAAAATCCCCCCAAAAATTAACAAAAAAACCCAAAAATCTCCCCAAATCCCCTAAAAATGCCCCCAAAAATCCCCTAATATTATACCCAAAAATTCAAAAAATCCCCCAAAAATTCCTCAAAAAATCCCAAAAATACCGAGAAAATCTCCCTAAAAATTCCTTTAAAATTCAAAAAAAAATTCCCCAAAATGCCCCAAAGATACCCCAAAATAACCCCAAAAAAAACCCCAAAACCCCAAAAATCCCCCCAAAAATTAACAAAAAAACCCAAAGAATCTCTGAAAATCCCCTAAAAATATCCCCAAAAATTCAAATAAATCCCCCAAAAATTCAAAAAATCCCCCAAAATTCCTCAAAAAATCCCAAAAATGCCGAGAAAATCCCCCAAAAAATTCCTTTAAAATTGCAAAAAAAATTTGCCCAAAATGCCCAAAAAATACCTCAAAGTAACCCCAAAAAAAACCCCAAACCCCCAAAACCCCAAAAATCCCTCCAAAAATTAACAAAACACCCCCAAAAATCTCCCAAAATCCCCTAAAAATACCCCCAAAAATTAAAAAATATCCCCCAAAAATTCCTCAAAAAACCCCAAAAATGCTGAGAAAATTCCCCCAAAAATTAACAAAAAAACCCCCAAAAATCTCCCAAAATCCCCTAAAAATACCCCCAAAAATTCAAAAAAGCCCCCAAAAAAATTCCTCAAAAAATCCCAAAAATACCGAGAAAATCGCCCAAAAATTCCTTTAAAATTCCCCAAAAACTACCCCAAAATAACCCCGAAAAAACCCCAAAAACCCCCAAAATTAACAAAAAAATTCCTCAAAAATCTCCCCAAATCCCCTAAAAATGCCCCCAAAAATCCCCTAAAAATACCCTCAAAAATTAAAAAAAACCCCCAAAAATTCCTAAAAAATCCAAAAAATGCCAAGAAAATCGGCCCAAAATTTCCTCTAAAATTAAAAAAAAAATTTCCCAAAATGCCCCAAAACTACCCCAAAATAACCCCAAAAAAACCACCAAAACCCCCCAAAAATTACCAGAAAACCCCCTAAATCTCCCCAAATCCCCTAAAAATACCCTTTAAAATTACCAAAAAAGCCCCAAAAAATTCCCCCAAAATTCCTCAAAAATCCACCCAGAAAAATTCCCAAAAAAATATCCCAAAATACCCAAAAATACCCCAAAATAACCCCAAAAATCCCCGGAAAAATACAAAATACCCCGAAATATTTCCAAAATTAACAAAAATACCCCAAAAACCCAAAATACCCCCAAAATTCCCCCAAAATTTAGAAAAGTGTCCCCATGAATTAAGAAAAATATCCCCGAAAATGAACTGAAATAAATGAATAAAAAATCCCAAAACATCCCTAATAACCCTCAAAAAATCCCCCCCAAAACCCCCAAAAATTCCCCAAAAAATCCCTAAAAACCCTCCAAATATCCCAAAATTTGGGGTTTGGGATTTGGGGTTTGGGGATTTGGGACTTGGGATTTGGTTTTTGGGATTTGGGATTTGGGATCGGGGATGGATTTAGGATTTGGGGTTTGGGATTAAGGATTTAGGATTTTTTAGGATTTGGGATCAGGATGGATTTGGGATTTAGGATTTTTAATTTTTTGGGATGGGCATGGATTCGGGATTTGGGATTTTTTGGGATTTTGGATTTGGGATTTGGGAATTTTTGGTATGGGGATGGATTTGGGATTTGGGATTCAGGATTTTTAAGGATTTGGGATTTTGGATTTGGGATTTAGGATTTTTTTTAGGATTTGGGATAGGGATGGATTTCGGATTTGTGGTTTGGGATTTTTTGGGATCGGGATGGATTTGGGATTTGGGATTTTTTGGGATGGGGATAGATTTGGGATTTGAGATTTGGGATTTGGGATTTTTTGGGATCGAGATGGATTTGGGATTTGGGTTTTTTTTGGGATCGGGATGGATTTGGGATTTGGGATTTTTTGGGATGGGGATGGATTTGGGATTTTGGATTTTTTGGGATGGGGATGGATTTGGGATTTGGGATCGGGATGGATTTGGGGTTTGGGATTTCGGATTTTTTGGGATGGGGATGGATTTTGGATTTGGGATTTTGGATTTTTTGGGATGGGGATGGATTTCGGATTCGGGATTTGGGATCGGGATGGATTTGAGATTTAGGATTTGGGATGGGCATGGATTTGGGATTCGGGATTTGGGAATTTTGGGATCGGGATCCCCCCACCTGCTCGGCCTCGTCGCTGACCACGGCCAGCTGCGCCCCCAGGTCCTCGCAGGCAGCGCGGGCGCGGCCCCAGCTAGCGCGAACCCCGAGAAGGAATAACAGGAGCCAGCGTGGGAGCGCCAGCCCGGCCCACAGCGCCGGGAGCTGCCCAGGGCCCGGCACAGCAAATCTGGGGAAAACAGGGAATGATCCCAAAAAAATCTGGGAAAAATTCCATGGAAAAATCAAAAAAAATCCCCGGGAAAAGCCGGCAGAAGGAATAACAGAAGCCGGCGTGGGAGCTTTGAATGTAGATTACACCTCCACAGGCACAGAGATGTGACACTGACGCTGTCTTCTTTAGCTAAAACAAATGCTCCCAGTTAGTTATGTTTCGACTATGTCAGCACCCTGCCCTTATGGGAGCTACTTCTGCTCTGTTTTTCAAACCTATGTCTTCCTATGCATTGCAGAATTGCACTCAGGATGGTGTGATGGGACAGGCTGTAAAAGCCTTCATCGGGGCTTATGATACGTTTATCATGAGGTTAACACCAAGAGGAATTTATTGAGTAAGCAGAATGACATGCTATTTATTTACAAGCTTCTGTTTTGCTAGATTTGCATGCCACTGTGCATGCTCTTCCACTGTGTATAGATGTGTTCGGATGTGTTTTTGTGAGAGAGATGGAGGAAGCAAGATCAAGGGATCTTGACAACATTTTATAAATTCAGGAAACAGTTGCACTCACTGAAGCCAATGAATACAAAAACTGAAAGACCTGACATGAGTTATGAAGGTTAGCAGTAAAACCCTCCTAACATACAGCCAGCCTTCTCACAGCCTTTTGAGATAATTCCCAAAAGCAGCATATACCATATGGCAATGGCACTTACTGTGGATTTGACACTTATGATTAGTGAATTCCTCTCAACTTCAAAAGCAGATAGCCTTTGGCAAAATCCTGATGGATGCATTTGGCAGGTAAAGAGGGAGAGGAAGAAAAATTATTAAGGTCAACACAGAAAAAAAGAAATGGCTGAAATCTTAGTTTGAAATAGTGGCAGAGACCTGCTGGGAGCAGTTGGGAAAATGCCTGAGCTCGTTTAAAAAGACAATGAGCAGATGATTGATATTTAGGCCCTGACCCAAACTTTTATTAGCAACTTTATAAACCTTTCCATTTGGCTTGAGGGATACCGTTTCCTGTCCAAACTTATCCACCTATATCCCTGTAGTGGGGGAAAATCAACAACAGATACAGATGCAAAATAGCACATAAATCTTAATTTAGAGAGCTGTGATGAAACTGAAAAGCCAGAAGAAAGAGAATTATGAGAATTTATTGTGCCTTGTCTTACTTTTTTGGGGGGGGGTGGAAGGTGTGTATTTTTCCACATGGATCAAGAAAGAAAACACTGCTGTTTCTTCACACTTATGTATTGTAAATGATATCAGTATGGCTTATCATAATTAAACCATATTTTTGTTGTTGATAACAGGATGTCAGATATTTAATAAAGTTGTCCGAATTAAGTCTACCTTCCTTCCCCCAGGTGTTTCAGACAAAATAATTCCAAGGTTTCTGTGAGTAGGATGTAGGAGAAATGAACTGTCTTGCCAGTCCTCATAAAATTGTTAGTCATGTCACTGACAAGTCCTGGCATCTCTCTTCTTTGGAATTAAGACTTGAAATACCATGAGGAGGAGAATACAAGGTTCTTTCCCTTCTTTGTGGAAAACAGAGGAAAACTGGCAACATCAGGCAGTTCCAAAAACCTGGTCACATGCATGTGTCTGAAGGGAAGGTTTCATTCTCTTCAAGGTGCAGTGTGATTATGGCATAGGTCCATCTTCCAGAAAAGATGAGCATTTGCTGGGGCAGGAGAGCTGAAAGTAGGCAAGATTTTGCTCTGCAGTTACTGAATCTCCCAGCTGCATCAGTCAGTGGTGGATGGGGAAGAGGGAGAGGGTGGGGTAGTTAAAGATGTGTCTCTAACTGCAGGAGTGCATCAAGAAACCACAGCATGTCACAGCTCCTTTGTGTTCAGACAGCAATTAAAATTTTAGACCTTCTCTTAATGGCAGTCACGTGTTTTCATCTTCTCTGTGTTTTCATCTTAAGAAGTGGAAATCTGTGCTGGAAATGTTAAGATATTCCGGTGAGTCATGTGGGGATCAATGCAATACAATGCATTTCCTTTATTGTGTTTCCCCATTCTAAAAATGTGTTCTAAAAAATTGTGCACATATAAAGCTAAAACTACACACAGTTCAGTTGAAATATGTTGTAATACAGAATTAAAGTCATATATTCTCCACCTGTGTTAATATAATACACTGTGATCTTTAACCACATAGCTCATCCTTTATTCACACATTTTCCCTGATCCATTAGTTGAAAAATTCTCTTCTTCACTTATACTTAACTTCTAGATTCTGATTCATGTCATTACTATCCCAGAAATTGTCACTGCTCTTGTGATGTTTTTAGGGTGCTCTCTCTGCATGGACCTTACTTAATCTATGCCTCTTCAATACTTCTACAAGTTTGAGGTGCTTTTATTATTATGTTATAGATTTAATATATGGAGGAGGAAACAAACTGTCTTCTAATAGAAGATTGCCATCTTTAGAAATCCAGGGAATGATTTTTTAATAATATTCCTTATTCTAATAATCTTTGTCTAGCTCTGCTTTCAATCTAAGAGAAACAGTGTATTTATCACTCATTTTTGTGTATCTGGAGATAACCTGTGACCTTCACCCAACCTGCAGAACTCTTTGAGCACAGAAGTGACATTCAGCTTCCCTGAGCAGTGCATCCTCCTTGTCTGCTGCATCATTTAACATCCTCATTCCAATCCCTGGAGTGGATGCAGAAGGACTGGTTTTCATATACCAGTCTCATTCATTAATGTCATTTTCAGGACAACATCAGTTTTGTTACTAAAGAATGGAAGGGTCTGTGTCCTAATTCATATATGTGTAATTCACGCAGTGTAGACAGTCATGTTTCGATCTTCTGAGTAATAATATTTTTTAGTTGAGAGGTACTTCCATACATATTTTCTGAGTGTATCTGTAGGTTCTACTTTATAGGGAAAAGTAGAGAATAGCCAAATCAGAAGATTGATTGCCATCTAAGGAAAAAAAAAATTAAATGTTTTTTGATTTGTGGCTATCCTAAAATTTCCCTGTAGAAATGCAGATTCCTAACTGCAAATTTAACCCTATTGATTTGATTTACTTTGCTGATTTTCATGGACATCTTAGTGTACTCTCTTTTCTCAGTGAATGCAGTTATTTTACAGAAGTGTGCCCCCTGGTTTATTGGCTGAGGGAAATGCCCCAGCCCAGATTTGGATGTTGTCACAAGTGACATCCACAAACATATATCATTCCCCTGTGGGAATGTGGCCATGCCCCAGAGTAAGCCATGCTTGCTGTGAGCAGAGGTGACTTGGTCACAACACTAGGAATCCTGCATTGTGACATACTACATAGAAAAAAGCACAACTGAAAATAACCTTTGGCTTTTACAACAGGATTTACTTAGCACTGTTAAAAACAACTATTGTAGTAATTTAAATCTAATAAACAAGAACATTTTTCTCAGCTGATTTGTTTTTCTCCTCATTGAAAGAATTAAGATGCAGCCTCACTCCCACTGAAGTAATGGCAAGTGTTTGGCCACTGAAGTAAATTGAAGCAAGATCAAATTCACACTCTTCACTTTTTTCAGCTTGCATAAGTAAACTAAAGACAGTCAGTTCTTTCTCCTCTGCTGAAGGATGACAGTGCTAAATCATCAGCTCCACATGGAAATTAGCCACATTTAAAGGATTGTTTAGTTTCATGCAGTGTTCCGTGCACAAGATTTTCTTCCCCCTAAGAGTGATCCATTCTTTAAACATGGTGAAAAAGCAAACAGAGAACATTTTGGTGCCAGGAATTCTTCTGAAAATTTGACTGGATGAGTACACTTGCTCAATGTTCAGAAATGGTCCTTGGAACATGCTACTTTACAACGTCATGCATTCTGTTCTCTATATTATTTTTGCTTTAAATCTGATTCATTTTATAACTGATGAGATGCTTGACTGTTGTGTCAGAGCAGTTAGTTAGTTTAAGTTTCAGTACAGCTAGCTTATTTACATGTCATGCATCATTTAATTACCCATAAAAACATAGTTAAAATTATGTACAGCTCCTTGACCTCACTTAAACTGTCTGTGACACTGCAGTAGTCCCAGTACCCTGAGAGGGTGTTGCACAACTATGACTGGTTGGAATGTGGTCAACTGGTGATGTATAAGAGAGCCTAGAAATGAGTTTTTATTTTGCAGCTGTGCTTGCTCTGCTGGAAGAGGAAGGAAAACCAGAGAAAACCCTGCTCCTGTGGTAGTATCAGCAGCTGTAAATCTGAATGCTTATGAAAATCAAGGAAAGTGTGTTGACTGAAGAAGTGGTGTTTTCCTCTTGTTTATTATTTAATTAATTTTTGATGGTTTGTTATTTCTCAGAATAATTATCTTTGATTCCTTTGAGGAAAAACGTGAAGTGTTTATGTGAGAATGAAGATCCTACTATTGGAAGATTGTATACTTAGGCAAAAAACTTTGTCTGTTTTGTCTCAAAATGCTTTCTGGAGGCAGTGAGCATTGAGACTTATAATATACCCTAGCTTTATGATGGATGGGCACTGCTGTCCATGCAAGGAAAGTCTATTGTATATGCATAAACTAAATATAAATGTGAAGGCATTTATAAATAGAAAACCCAGCAAATTTCTTGCAGACTTTTTATTTATTTTTTTAAGCTAGTGAACTTGAAGGTCACATTCAACTATATGTTGCATTTTCTGTCATATAATTATCATATATATAATGTCCTGGAGAGCAGCTTCCAGTCGCTGACATCAACAGTTTACATAGCAGTTGAATAAGAATAACCTTGGAGAACTGACCCATATCAACCTCTTAAGTGTAAACTGTAGCTCACAACAGTTTTTGTGTTTCAATGGTCACAGAAGCGCCTCAATTTGGTAAAAGAATTGTGTTCGAAAAATACGGAACTATTCTGCTGAGTGTTTGCTTTATTAAATCTTGGAAAATAAGAGGATACAAAACTGAAAGAGTGATACTTGGCAAATAATTTTTGCTCCCATGGAAAAAGAAGGATGGAACAACATCAAAAACAGCTTCCCTACAAGAATGCGGGGAAGATACATCATAAATGGCATCAGCTTGGAAAAGGGTTCAAAACGCTTTATTTGACCGCTTTTGCTAATGACATCTGTTAAGCA